CTAAAAGAAGCCACTAGAGTCATGGGGAGGATGAGGTAGCGGAGCATTTATGCCTCCAACCGAATTTTCTGCCTTCATATCAGAGGTTACGGACATTTAGCTATTAGGGAATTTTTTACCATATTTTTACAGATGTTTGGGAAAATGAGCACTCTGAATCAGAAAATTGATTTTAGTAGACTTTTTCAGACACCTTACAGTGAAACTCCTAAAAATATACCACCGTGATATAATAAAATGAAGACATTTTCATCGCTAAATCCTTAGGAATATGGAAAATATTATCAAATTATCTTTGATGTTAAACTTCTAAAAAAAGAATTTACATAGGAGATTACTATTATTTGAGGACATAGTGTGTAGATCTATTATCTCCCTTTGTGAGGTTTGTTGTGTGGGAAAATATAAAATGTCATTGTGTTGGTCACCAGAATTTTTCCATGAACGAGTAAGAGGGTGATATCTTCATTCAAGAAGAGAACAGCTTTCTTCCTTATATACCTATGGGCAAGGAAGGGCTCTCACACTTTCATTAATTGTTAAAGCAACAAGCATATGGCTTATTCATTCCTATATAGTTAATGTTGCCTTATGAGTATTTTTTTCTCATCTACTTAAAGTAGCAGGAAAGTAGTGTTCTTCAGGCATAAGTGCTTAGATGGTGATCCCTATACCAGGAAACCTAAGGAAATAAGAGCTACCAAACTTCTTGGGATTTGAAAGATAATTTTAAAGGAGAAAAATTAATTCCTTGCTTCATAAGCTTTTTATAGTTATGGACATCCTCATTTTTGTGATAAATACTTATATTCAATGCTTAATTTACAATAATTCCATTTTAGCACTTGAGAGTGATATTCTACATGAAAGATATACTAGCAGTAAATGGTGTGAAATGGTGGGAAGCCCAATGAAAAATGAAATTGTACTGTTATAAAAAAATTAACAAGCTTCATGTCATTTCACCTCTTGTTTAAAACACAGGAGGCTAAGTATTTACAGTGATCAAAGTCTATAAATTCTATTCTGTTTTTTTGCTCTAGTGTAGCCAGACTATTGTCCAACCAGCAGGCATTGAAGGAGTATGGTTTCTGGGGCAGGGATTCTGACTTTCCTGCTCACTCTCGTAAACTCCTGTTTACCACACTGTCTAGCAAAGGCTCAATACATATTCATACAATGAATTTTTAGAAATCAGAGAATGTCTCCTGCATTGGCAGGTGGGTTCTTTACCACTGGTACCACCTGGCAAGGCCCAACAAAAGATATTATATGGAAAAACGTAAAAGTTCCATAGAAAAATGGACTCTTTAAGGGAACATATGCTCCACATTGAATTCCTTTTTTGAGGAATCTGTTTCCTTTAAACTGAGTTTCAGGATGGTTTTGTTCTTTATGAAATTAAATATAGAAATATTAAAGCAGTCAATGTTTTAACTATTTAACAGAGGTATTTAGTATATTACTATTAAATTGTTAATTAAAAAACTGAATTTTTTAATTTTAAAGAACTAATATATTTATATTAAATTAAATATTTAATGTTTTAATATTAAACTACTTATTAAGCCAGTTAGAATTATATTAAAGGTATGAATAATAAAGACATATGTAAAATATTCAAGCATTTGGTCACTCAACAAACATAGATGCTATGTGAAAAATGCAACAGAATAAAGTTATAGATCAATATGGAGAATTATTATTTTACATAGGGTGAACAAGGATATGTGATAGTTACCTGAATGAAATAAAGGGATAAACCTTAAGGATAGCTGTAAGAAGTCGTTTTAAGCCTAAGGAACTGTAGAAGAAATAGATTTGAGTGGGAAGTTTGTCATATTCAAGGAAGAGCAGAATTTCTGATATAACTTAAGAGTGAAAGACAGAAACTGTTCAGGAATGATATGATAATAGTGGTTATGTTGTATAGAGGCCAGAGTAAAGACTGAGCTTTATTCAGAGTGAGATTTGAAGCTCATGGGGGATTTCGAATATAAGAATGGTATAACATGACTTATGTTTTTGAAGAGATAACTCTGGCTACATACTCAGGGTGGGAAGCCAGGATAGGTGGACACGCAACTTAGAATTGGAGAGACCAGTCACGAGGGTGTTTTAATTGTGTGTGTGAGCAAATGAAAAGCTGGAGGTACCAGCCCTCGAAGGAAGAGAAGCAGGGAGAGTGTGGTATGGAAGAGGAACTCAAATACAGGGCTGTAATTCCAGGTACTTAGTAGCCAATAGAGGCGTGACAAGGCAGGCAAATAGTCATATTAAGTTGGTTTTCACACCAGCACCAGTAGCCAGGATGCAATTTGCAGAGAGAGGAGTTCTTTATCATTTTTTGGCTCAGGGATCATACATTCTCTTACCAAAACAAAAAATATATTTTGTCCTGTTTCTTAATTTCCTATGATATTTGGAAGAGCTAATTAACCTTTTATTTGTGCTTCCTTATCATACTGTAATTAATTAAGATTAGCTTGAGTGCTATTTGGAAAATTAGTAAAGCCTAAATATAATAGCATTGATAATTATCATGACCATTAGTTGACTTTTTACTTTATGCCAAGCACTCTTTTATAGTCTTTGCCAAACTCATATTTTATTTGAAATGTACTGAACACATAACACAGCTTAGAAATGCTGAAAAATTTGATCATGTTTACATGACTAATAGGTTCAAATAATTTCAAACCCTGCATTCTTTTAGAGCATTTAAAATCATGCTACAGGTTTGAGGCACAAATCATTTCTCCCTCCCATATGAATTTTTTCGTAAAATATCAAAAAGAAGCAGTAATGATATGCTAAGTTGCTTCAGTCGTGTCCAGCTCTTTGCAACCCTATGGACGGTAGCCTGCCAGCTACCATGGGATTTTCCATAGCCAGCCCTCCGTCCATGGGATTTTCCAAGCAAGAATACTGGAGTAGGTTGCCATTTTCTTCTCCTATATATATGTGTGTGTGTGTGTGTGTGTGTGTGTGTTTGTGTGTGTATTATTGTTTAGTCACCAAGTTGTGTCCAACTCTTTAGACCCCATGGACTGTAGCCCGCCAGGCTCTTCTATCCATGGGATTTCCTAGCAAGAATACTGGAGTGGGTTGCTACTTCATTCTTCAATAATGGCAATAAGAAGGATGTTTTTAGAAACAAAATATTTCCCTTAAGTCAACATTCCCTGGTTGCTCAGTAGTAAAGAATCTGCCTGCAATGCAGGAGACTCAGGAGACATGACTTTGATTCCTGGGTCAGGAAGATCCCCTAGAGGAGAAAATGGCAACACACTCCAGTATTCTTGTCTGGACAATCCCATGGACAGAGGAGCGTGGCGGGCTCCAGTCCATGGGATCGCAAAGAATCAGACACAACTGAGCACACATACACACAATCTGTTCTCTGCTCAAGCACACCTCATTACTTCTACCATGAGGAAAATATTTTGTTTGTTTTGCTTTACTGTCTCAGAGAAGCCACTGCTGAATTTCACACACCTAAATAGCATTTTCCTGCTCTCCAACGCTCCATTTAAACATTGTGGAATTCCCCGAATTCTCCGTCCTGTATCTGATATCCAGCACTGTCTCCACTTTCCTAAGCATCCTGACACTTTTTATTCAGATCTTTGACTACTCAATAATAGTCTTGTACTGCACTATGGCTCTGGGGGGTTAAATTCCCTTGGCAATTCTGGATGCCATCATCGGCATATGGAAAGTGACTTGGGAAGTGTTAGACATTGCCCATGAGAGACGGGGCTGATTCAGAAGATGATATGGAACAGAGATACTGGGTGTGAGCAGCAGTGGCAATTGGTACCTTTTGTTTAAAACTTTGGACAGATGCTGCTTAGTTGTAAAAGTGTATATTAGTTAATAATGACTTGATGTTACCTCTAGCTAGGAAAAAGAAAAAAGAGAGAGTGTTTGATCACTCTATTAACCAATGTAATACAACTTTGGTGTTCTTGTGAGCCATCAGTCCCATCAGTAAGTAGGGAAGCCGTCCAGTGGCTGGCTGTGTATCCAGCTCCTTGATTTTGTTCATCTACCTTCAGTCTGAAGCAGTAACCACCTGGCCCTCACACGAGTAACTTCAGTATAGAGCTCTGCTTCCAATCTCTTTAAGTGTGTTGCTCACATGGATTCTACCACCGTCACACTTTGGGGTCAGTTAGGTCTATTTTGAATTTCAGAGATATCACTTATTTCTGTGTGATGGAAAAGTTACTTAATCTTTTGAGTCTCATTTCATTTGCTTTCTCATAGTCAAAGCTTATATAATACCTATTCTGCAAGTTTGTTGGGAACATAAAAAGAATTAATGTGTGTAAAATATATAGTATGGAAGCTGTAAAACAGTAGATGCTCAATAAACAGAATTGTTACGTTTTTACATGTAAGCTAAGCATATAATTAATTTGTAACTATGACAGAGAGATATGTTGTTTTTGTTACTAACTCAAAAAAGGACTTTTGACTTATAGATACGAATATATAGGTTTCATCAAAGTGTGAGTGGATATGTGTAATCTCTTTCATGTACATGTTCACACTAATAAACACATTCTTCTTTAAATATTTTCTTTATTAAAGGCAGCTTTGGGTTTGAAACAACAAAGACTTTGCTGATATTAAAAATAACCATTTAAAGGTGGTATTTATTCATAAAAGGTAAGTGATTTCTCCATACGTGGGGATACAGGTGTTTCAAAGAATTATGAAAGTCAAAACTCTAAAGAATTATTAGCAAGAACACTTTAAGCAAAGTATCATTAGAGTTGTCTAATTCATTCTCCAAGTGCCCAGGAAGATAACTAAATGATATTAGGAAAACCAAAATATTCCTTGTATATTCAACCTTTTTGAAAAATGTCAGTAACAAATGATGCAACATAAAATAAAATTGGGGCTGCTGTTCCTGCCAGCTTTAAATTCTAATGCTCATTTGGCTGACCCACCTAAAGAATCCATTGGTTTCTTTGTTTGTTTGACAGGTACTATCTCAGGTCAGTCTCCTTCTGAGGGTTTGCTTCATTATCCTGACCTTGACCTCCATTGGATTTCTTTTGGATCAAAGGTAAAAAGTGAAATTCTTTCATCTTATATAACTTTGTAATGTAATTTAAAAAATATCTGTGAAATTTTGAAATTCAGCAGACATTGTTATTAAAAGAGTAAAGCTGAAGCTGCAATTTCACACTTTCATTTTAAATGCAACAGAGTAGTGGTTTGTCTGATTTTATATCAAGGGATCATTTTAAATCTAAGCCTTTTAGATGAAATTTAGGTTTTTCAAATATATTAAGAAAACCCATAAAATAAAATGAGTAATTTGGCAAAACATAGAGTATAACTCTAAGTACTTAATAAAATATAAAAATGATTTGAGTATTTTCCTTTGCTATTGAATAGTTCACAATATATGCCTAAATGTATGTACAGTTGTTTCTCAGTATCCACTGGAGATTGGGTCCAGAACCTAGCCCCTCATACCAAAATTTGCAGATGCTCAAGTCCCTTACATAAAATGATGTATATATATATATGCACAGAACCTATGCACAGGCTCCCATAAATTTAAATCCTCTCTAGATCACGTATAATACCTAACACAATGTATACTGTATTATAAATGCAATATAAATGCTATATAAGTAGTTGCTGGCAGTGGCAAATCCAAGTTTTGTGTTTTGAAATTTTCTGAAATTTTTAAAAAATATTTTTTCATCTTAGATTCATTGAATCTGAGATGCAAAACCCACGTTTATGGAGGGCCACCAGTGTACTGAAAGTTTTATGTTCTTTACCATCATACAATACAGTATAAAAAATGTTTTTATTTTTATCATTTATTTTGTTTGGCTTTTCATCCCTACTTTTCTATACTAGAGATAAAATACATACTGAGCCACAAAAAAGAAAAATAGAAAAATTGAGTCAGAAGGCAATCTGAAATAACCCAGATCCAAAGCATCAGGATCATATTTTAAGGATCACAATTCTACTGTTTGTATATACTTACTAAAATGATCAATCAGCCAATAGCAACAGTATACTGTTCTTTAATGAAGACTTTTTTATTTTCATGGATACAAATAAATAAGCTGAATAGCAGGCTATTGATTTTACTGCAATATATCCTAAGGTATAATAAGTTATGGTATATGTTTATATAAATGTCTCCACTGCCTTTGGCATTATTTAGGAACTCATACTGGATATAGGTATGTCATTGTGGAAAGGAAGTGAAATGTTGAAAATTTTCCTTTGAAACTGAGAACTAGTTAGGTATGTTTGTTATTTAATGCTGGGCTGGAAACTGTCAGTGGAGAAATGAAAGAGAAAGAAAGAAAAGGCATAAAGATTTGAAAGGAATTAATAAAATAATTAGAAAATTAATTTATATTAATCTAGAAATCTGAGTAGTGAATTAATTAGAAAATCCAAGGAATCTATAGGGAATTTATTCAAATTAATGGATGAATTTAGGAAAAGTTTTAAATAAATTATCAACTATATTTTTGTATACTAGAAAATATAAAAACTTTATGCAAAAGATCAAATATATTAAATACCAAGAAAAAAAAGTCCAAAAAAAGGAGTAGTATATCTCTAAACCATACATAAAACTACTGAATATTATGAAGAATAAAGAATTTAAAAATGGAGAGATACTATATTCATAGATTGGAGTACTCAATTTTGTGAAGATTACAATCACAGCAGTTGGTTTACATACTCAGTGTAATATGAGTTAAAATTATAAAAAGTTTCTTCTCTGTGGAATTTGACAGACTCTTTCTAAAATATATATATATGGAAATGCAAAGGCCTAATAATAGCCAACACAGTCTTGAGATTTTTTTTAATGGCAGGAGCTGAGCTACTGGCTATCAAGATATATTATAAATCTGTAGTAATTAAACATGTTTTATTGGCATAAAGATTAGAACAGAGAATCTAGAAACAGATCTATGCATATATAAAGACTTGATTTCTGACAAAGTCATCCCCGCAGAGAGCTATGGGAAAAGGAAAAGGCTGTCTTTTCAATACATGGTCTTAGAAAAATTGGATCTCCACATAGGAATAAGAAAAATAAACTTGACAAATAATTCACTCCATAAAAATTAATTCTGGTTTCAGGGATTGTAGACTTTAAAGTGAGAGGAAAGTCAGTACAGATTCCAGCAGATAGCATAGTAATATATGTCTATAACCTTGAAGTAGGTAACAATATTGAATGGTCCACAACAATCCATAATATAGATAAAATTGGTGAATTAGGTTATAGTAATATTATGAAAGTCAGTTCTTCAAAAATAAAATCTTAATAAGACAGAAAAAATAAAATTTTGAGGTAGGAAAAGCTATTTGCAATTTTTTATAAACTTCAAAGATCTTATGTCAAAAATGTCTAACATTAAAAGAATTGACAATACAAGCTGTGAAATGCTTACACTCTGAAGAAGGCGGTTTATATTGAGATACCTAATTTGAAGAATGTTTTGAGTATTTCATTAGATTTGGCTGTTCAATCCCAGATGTATACTAACCAATACACCCAAAGGCATATAAAAGAATGTTCAGAAAGCATTGTTCTTAATAAACAAATGTGGCCAACAATCTAAATGTCCTTCCCAAGGTGAATGGATGCGTGAATATTGGTCTATTCACACAACAGAATACTATGCACAGGTGAAGAATGAGCTGCTGCTATATGCAGAAATGTAGATGCATCTCACTAACAACACTGAAAGATATTAGATACAAAAAAAGTGCACGTGATATAATCCCATTTACAAAAAATAGAAAAAAAGATAAAAGTAGAAAATAGTTTTTAGGAATTTATGCTAAATCAATAAAAATGTAAATAAAAAGGTAGGAGATGGTATGAGTACCATAAATGATAAACAACAAGTAGTGATTCTTTCTGCAACAGAGGGAGGGTGGGACACTGAAGAGGTGAGATGTGCCTAGGGGTGCTAATGTTGAGTGGTGTTATATGGCTGTTTATTTGTTGAAAGTCATTGAGTTGTATATTTCTGTTTTGTGTGTTTCTTCCTATGTATGTTCTAATTCACAATATAAAAGGCCATAGAAACACAAATAATAAAAATAAATTGTTTTAAAATAGAAATTAAAAAATAATAAAATAGAAATTTTATTTTCTGTTTTATCATTGAAAATTACCCAAATATCAATTTAAAAAGTTTACAGTGATGATACAAAATTATTTTACAAAGGGAAAAATTTCTTAACTTTTTGCACATACACAAAAATCATACTACTATATTCTAAATTAACCCAAATATAGCTATATTATAATGATATTAGCTCAATAATATTTTGTTAGAAAATGTACATTATAAAAATACCATTTGTCCTTTATGAAAATATTTAATTATACAGTAAGTGTTGGTTGAATTCATTGTGAAGTTTATTTGAATCTGATAAAGCAGCTGTTCACTACTGCTATTACAAGGCAATTTACAAATGCCTATATGTGACCTTCAGTTATGTTTTAAATACACATACATGCTTTATATATGTCAGAGTTTGAGTTTCAAGAATTCTGTATTATAAAGAAAACATTCATCACAAAATTATTGACCAAAATCTATATTCATGCTACCTATAATATCAGATTTAGCAACATATTATCATGTTCCCAATATTTCACTATTCAAGCATTCATTATTTTAGAGTAGTTAACTATGTCAGCCCTCCTAAGAAGTCATTTATTAAATGAATTAAGTATTAAGATGTTGGGTGAGTGAGGGGAGTCTAGTCTCTAAACCCTAGAAATTTAGTTGTCTAATATTTTATTTATTAATTGAAAATGTTTCACCCCAATTCATCAATGCTCAAACTAAGTGATACGTTGATCAATAATAGATTTTCTTTAAAAAGATGCATTTTGTGTCTTAGTTTAATGCCTGTTTACAAACAGCTTCAGAGGTACATACTCCTCAAATATATTAAAATACTAGGTGTTTCTTGAAAATGAAAACAAGTTATTAATTATTAAAATAAGCCAGAAAGATAAAGATCATTACAGTATACTAAAGCATATATATGGAATTTAGAAAGAGGGTACGATAACCCTATATGCAAAACAGAAAAAGAGACACAGATGTATAGAACAGACTTTTGGACTCTGTGGGAGAAGGAGAGGGTGGGATGTTTCAAGAGAACAGCATCGAAACATGTATATTATCTAGGGTGAAACAGATCACCAGCCCAGGTTGGATGCATGAGACAAGTGCTCGGGGCTGGTGCACTGGGAAGACCCAGAGGGATCGGGTGGAGAGGGAGGTGGGAGGGGGGATCAGGATGGGGAATACATGTAAATCCATGTCTGATTCATGTCAATGCATGACAAAAACTACTGTAATGATGTAAAGTAATTAGCCTCCAACTAATAAAAAAAATCAGTGGATCATTAATAATTCATAATTAATTATGAAAATAAATGCATTAATAAACCAATCCACTTTATTATATAGCAGATACTAAAGAGCATTCAAAGGTAATGCATGTAAATGACATTCTATTTCAGACCTAAGGCAGCTGTTCTGGAAACTCTTCGTTGCTTGGTGTTCCTAGGGCTTTGCAGAGCAGGTCACCTGAAGCCTTGCTTCCCTTCTTTGTCATTTGCTCTTGAGGTAAGATGTTTGCTTTAGATAGCTACAGCAGGATTAAAAATTGGTTGCATATTTAGCTCATCCATTCAGCAATGTTTTTGTCTATTTATTCTGTGACCAGTACATGTGGGAGATTTTTACCCATTCACATACAGTACTTATTTGTTGTGTTCCCTTGAGCTAGTTTATATTGTCGAGTCTCAATTTTTGTTCTCTAAATTTGGATTGATATCATTAGCCTTCATAAAACAGTTGGACAAATTGTATCGCATGATGTTTACAAAGAAATTAGGCTATATAATTTTTTCTCAACAAGTAGTAAAAGTGATTTTTACAAAAAAGTTCTTGGCAGAGATTGTGCCATTTGAGACTTTTCTTTTTTAGGCTCTTAAGTGAAAATTGTGATTAAGATATTTTGTCCAAAAAAAAAGAGACATTTTGTCAAGTACCTGCAAGTTAATAATTCTTTAGAAATAAAATCATTAATGTCATTGAGATCTTTCTATAACTGAAAATATGTTTAATTTGACCTTGTGTTGTTAGGATTAAAACTTATCTTCTAAGAACTACATAGAAACTTTGAATACATATTTATGACTTAGATGTCTGTTTAAAGTGTTATTTTTATCACTAATGCTTTAATGGACAAGGTTTTAGTCTTTTAAATTTAGGGTCATGTCATTTAACTTTGGTGCTAAGAAACCTGCCAACATCCCTGGAATGTGTGTTGTGTAACCTTATTTAAGCATGAAACATAAATGCTAACATTTTCTCCAATGTTAATGGAAAAATTGAGGTAGACACCCTCATAACCGAGTAACAGTTATAAGTTGGGACCGACTGTTCAGAAGAGAAATCAGAGATATCTGTCAAATTGCAAATACTCTTACCCTTTCTTCCAACACTTCTCTCCTAGGAATTTATGCTACACAAATGATATACTCATATGTGTGTGAATTAATGTATATAGAGTATTAATCATTTGTAATGGGATGCTGAAAACAATCATTAACAATCGTTAATGTCCTATTAAGCCACTAATAGGAAACTGCTTAAAAATTATGGTTAACATAATGAAGAAGAATATGCATTTAGCAGTGGAAACAGGGAAGTCTTTAATACCAGTATGAAGCATTTATTAAAAATACATATATATTTGGGGTTGCTCCATCATATGTATGGCCTTCCCTAGTGGCTCAGCAGTAAAAAATCTGTCTGCAGTGCAAGAGATGTGGGTTTGATCCCTGGGTCAGGAAGATCCAAGAAAGTGGCAACCCACTCCAGTTTTCTTGCCTGGGAAATCCCATGGACAGAGGAGCCTGGAAGGCTACAGTCCATGGGGTCACAAAGAGTTGGACAGGACTTAGCAACTAAACAACAATAACAGCAGGTATGTGTGTGTGTGTGTGTGTAAATATATATATATATATATATATATATATATATATAAATGGGGAGAGAGAGAAGAAAGAAGGAGAGAATGAAACGTGATACGGGAGAGTATGTGTGAAGTATGTGAAGTGTGCTACCATACAAAGCACATTGTATAAAAATGAGGAAGGGGAGTAATATGCATATAAATATTTTTGTATGTTTGTAAATATTTCCAGAAATATAATCAAGATTCTAATACATGGTTGCCTGTGGGAAAGTGAACTGTGTGGCTCAAAAAAAGGACTAGAGGAAAGATTATTCATTAAGTTAATATTTTTGGTACCTTAAACTTTATGAACCATGTAAATATATTTCTGTTTCTAAAAATATCTGAATTAAAAATGATGAAGCATTAAATCTTAGAATCGGTATATTGGATATCATCTAGTCTGTGTATTTAAATAGATATTAAATAAAGTTTATACATCTACATATGTTTTGTTTCTCGAGGTTACAACCCAAAATTGAAATGAAAAAGCATAAACTGTACATGTTTAATGAAATTTAGAAATATAAATGCCAAAAAACCTTACAATCTAAAATCATAGCATTTTCACATTCTCTAGAAGGGAAGATAATTCTAATTGTAGGGAGGAAACAGAGTAATTCCGCTTAATAAACCTACTCTTGGGTATATTGTGATAATTTATCTTAAATGCTCCAAAACAATGAGAGAATGTAGGTTCTCGAGTTATCCATGTTGTAATGTGAAAATATATGATTACAAGACACAGGTTTTTGATGGTGGGATGGTGAAGGGCAGTGTAGTAGATCCAACTTTTGAGTGGGATGAAATCTAGGGTTGAAATGCTATCTCTTTACTTAACTTAGTCAGTAGGTGAAAGTGAATGTTAAGACTTGAGCCACATTGTCTAAATTTCATTCCTGGCTCAGGTACTTACTGGCTGTGTGTCCTCGGGCAGTTATTTGGTCATTTAAAGATTCTTAGCCTTAACTTCCTCATCTGTAAAGGAAGAAACTGATAATCTCTATCAAATAGGGTTTTGAGAATTAAACGTGACAATCTATGTAAGAGATTTAGTACAGTGCTTAATACATAGTACGTGCTTAAAAAATGTTCAGCTCAGTTCAGTTCAGTCACTCAATCGTGTCTGACTCTGCTATCCCATGGACTGCAGCATGCCAGCCTTCCCTGTCCGTCACCAACTCCCGGAGCTTACTCAAATTCATGTCCATTGTGTCAGTGATGCGATCCAATCATCTCATCCTCTGTTGTCCCCTTCTCCTCCTGCCCTCAATCTTTCCCAGCATCACGGTCTTTTCAAATGAGTCAGTTCTTCACATCAGGTGGCCAGAATTGGAGTTTCAGCTTTATCATCAGTCCTTCCAATGAATATTCAGGACTGATTTCCTTTAGGATGGACTGGTTGGATCTCCTTGCAGTCCAAGGGACTCTCAAGAGTCTTCTCCAACACCACAGTTCAAAATCATCAATTCTTCAGCACTCAGCTTTCTTTATAGTCCAACTCTCACATCCATATATGGCTACTGGAAAAACCATAGCTTTGACTAGATGGACCTTTGCTGGCAAAGTAACATCTCTGCTTTTTAACATGCTAATGTTAGGTGCTATTATTATTATTTTATATGAACTTAAGCATCCCTTGAAATAATTCTTTTTGGCGTGTCACAAGATCCAAAATCAAATTTGGGAACAACTGACATAGGGGTTGGGAAGGAACAACAATGTTGACCGTAAAGTTATGGTTGTGAATTCTTAGCTTGATACTCAGTTTGTTGGACATTGGATTTTGTGCCTCAGATCATTTACCTGTAAGATAGGTTTAGTGAGAACTAATGTGCATGGAACTTATACTATGTTCTAAACAGCATATTTGCATTATTCCATTTAGTCCTCATATCAAACTCATGATGTGGTAACTACTATTTATTTTTATAATGGCAGATGGAGTAACAGGTTGACTCACTGTTTGAATTCACCTAGATAGTATGCAAAGAAGTCAGGATACAACGCAGGCAGTCTGACACCACAGCTCTTGATCACTGAGCAATGCTTTCTTCTGTGTATTGATAGCAGTACTCAGCTACCTGAAGGGGTTTAGATGAAATTTCAGATGCAATGTAGCAAAAGTACCTTGAAAACTGTAGAGAGCTAAAAGGTCTTATTGATATAACTGCAAAGTGTTTTGAAAAGACTCAGAGTGTGAAAAAGTTGCCTCTGAATTATCTTTGGTTTATGATTCAAGGAAGGGAGCACCATGGCAAAATATTTCCAGAAAGGCACACACCTGGCCACTTCTTCAAGAGCAGGTATTGTCTGTGATTTGCCACTAAAACATGTCCTTAAAGTGGTATAATAATGATATCTACACCATGTGGCTTGGTGGAAAAATTGAGTGACACAAAGAACATAGGAAGCACTTGATACATTTTAGTTACCATTTTTCATATTACTATTATTATTGTTATAAAAAGTATTTGCACTACTGGTATCATCATTAAAATATACATTTAATCACTGAATTTCCAAGATTAAACCTGAATAAGTCTTCTTTGACTAGAGGTCAATAACTAGATGGTAAAGACTAGACAAGTATTTTATTATCAATATTTTTTACCTGGGGAGCCTTTTTAAAGTTCAAAAAATTAAAAATTAAAAGCAGTTAGCTATTCTCATTTCTTAACTGTGAATTTCAAATTTGCGTTTTCCTCACACTTTTATATCTTACAAATTTATGTAAATCTTTGCCATCTATCAGAGTTTTACTAAACCAGTTCTTTGCACCTACAAGCTGTACAAAAACCTAATGAATGGCCTCAGTGTCTCCATTCAGTATAAATTAGGAATGAGTGACAGGAGTAATTATCCTACAAGGACAGAATGTTCTCATCAATTTTCCTTAAATCTATCACTAGAATAACTGACATTGAAGTAATTAATCCTCTCTTTCTTTGATAAATCAATGTCGTATATGTTGGCAACATCAGTTAGTAGCCCTGTGACTTCTGTATTTGTCTCAACGACTTGTGGCAGGTTGTTATATTGCTTTATTATGTAAGCCAAATTTCATAGGTGTGCATGACAGCAGCTCTATACTAAACAGGCATACTGCCGGTCACACTTGCAGCTGAAAACTCCTATACTAAAGCATACACAGACTGGAAAATTGACCTTAAATTATTTTTCACTTAGATTGCAAAAGAGCTCCTAGGTAATTACAAGTCAGAAATACAAAGTAAAATTTGAATCTGATCCTGTGACTTCCTATGGAAGTTTTTGTCCTCTTTAGCTTGGATCCAGAGAACATCAAGTAAGGGTGCGGTTCTCTCGGTATTTATAAAAATTTACTGCTATACCAGTGCACAGTTGTCTGTCTAGTTTGTGCAATGAGGAGTCGGTGCCCGTGACCATTTCTCTTTTTAATAGATCAATCGGTATCTTGACTGACTCACCTAATTTTTTCTTCAAAACTTGCTGTTTTGTGGATAAGAAATTTGACAGGAAAGCAATCCCTTCATTCTTTTCTTCACTCATTTCTCACTCACATAAGCACTCACATTTTTCTTTTCTGTTGACTCAGGTATAATTTGTTCTACAATCACCT